CTTTCCCTAGTTGTCATGGTTTCGAGTCCCGTCGAGGCCGTCAAGGTCTTCACAACCAAGCTCAATAAATTATTCACATTTTCGCATAACTACTGCAGTGGCGTCGTGACGTTCCCGACAGCGTTCACCACTAATTCCTTCGGGGCCTAGGGACTGCACCCGAGGGGGGGGAGGGGGTGCTGGCTGGATAATGCCAAGTAATAGCACTTTCAAACTACCTTGACGACCTGGCCTGGTAAATGATTCATCGACCTCCCAGCTTTAGTTAATAGTTGTGGCTGTAATCGTTCCCCCCCTCAATCTAATCCGATTGCTGCAGAAAATGTCCTAAGAACGAAGGTTTATCGGCGAAGGTAGCTATGCCGACTTATTTAATTTGCGAGGAAACTTATTCAGAGTAAATTCTTCGGAACAGACCTTTTCAGGCTCCATCCAAAAGTTACTATGAATGCTTGAACTGAATTCCAGCAGCTGCCATGGTATAACTGCGCAATATACCCACAAGCTAAGCCGTTAGTAGTATGCAAAAGGGTATTTTTCTTATCCATATAGACAGGATAGGTGCTTAATAAAAGACCAGAGTTCATAGACGAGAACACACTCGAGAAATGCGGGGGATCCCACACTGATCAGTCGAACCCTTCGCAACTGTGGCATGCAGCGGCAAAATATCGGCGAAACACAAGTCTGTGTTTTTAGCTAGTATGTGTTCTATCCGGAAAGTCCATCTTGCAACCTCTTAAAACATGACTCTATGCAGTAAAGGGTTTCAGGCCTAGAAAACAAGTATGCATTATGGTATATCCGTAGTCCTGAAACGTCTGTCTCTCCTAAGTTTACTAACTGTCATAAGCTGAGAGACAAAAGGAAGCGCGAAACGTATATACTACTCAACTATCATAATTTCTAATGGCTGCCCATGACCGAATGCTGAGGATCGTGGTGGGGCCCCGTGTTTCGTCACCTGGCAGACCCAGTAGCCAGCAAGGGCTTACGACGGGCGCATCTCCGACACTCGGTGATGTTCTCGTGACCTCTGCAATCTTCTCTTTCTCCTCGCGTGACCTTTAGGATATTGATAAAAACCGCGATGGGCTTCTCCTGACATGCTTCAAACACTTTCAACAATAGGCCATCCAATTGGCAAATACTCTACCCCCCTCCCCCCACGGGCGGCAATTTTTCTCCTTAAAATTCCGCAAATGGCATTCAAATCCCCAGAATTCTGAATAATGCCTAAGGAGTTTTTTTATTTTCAGCCCTTTTACGCAGTTCCATTACTGGCAACGCCACA